CATGATTCAACAGAGCTAAACTCTGTATTTATGCTCCACAAGCTAATATCTGCTAACAGTTCAATAATAACAGTGATTACATGGACTTTATKAGATTATTTTAATTTTAAACTGTTACATTATGTTCTGCTCAGATCACATTGAGCTAAATAAGATCAAATCTGCTGACTTGTTGTAAAATGAGACGTTTTCCTGTTTATCTTGTTAATAAATCCATAACAAAAACAGCTTTTCTGACATTATTTAAAACATTCGATTGATTAAATAAACTGTAAAATATTAATAATAATTGGATTAAAATTATTATTAATAGTTTTAATGATTTCTTCATATTCAGTTGGTTTTTTTCTGCCCTGTTGTCAACATGTACAGTAACAGGAAATCCAGACTGTTGACTGTTTAGCGTTAGCCGTTAGCTTCACCTGCTGATCACAGAGTCACCTGGTTTCTGAGCTCCAGGTGTTTTATAGAACCTCCTTGTTCAGAACATATGTGATGATCAGAACTTGTAAATGAAACCAGAGCATCTTGATGGACAGGAGAATGTAGTGTAGTTGGTAAAATAATGTGACAATATTTAAAAAAGGTATAAAAACTAAACACTTGAAGTAAATGTTTATCAAATCCAGTTTAATGTTACAAGTACTGCTGGATCCCTGAGACTGTGGCTTTAGTGGAGAAGAAAAACCAAAAGCTAAATATTGAGCTCAGGGAACCCCCTGATGAAAGCCTGACAGTGGTCTGCTGGAGCCATCTGGCTTTGTCATGATTCACTTCTTTTTGCCTGATTTATTTGTTGCTTCAGCTTTTAGTTGGGCTTTTAATGTTTTCATCCATTTTTTATTTGCAGTAGTTGATTTTTCTGTTTTGTTGCCAAAAGTCCCTGAACTGGAAACCGTGGACTCTTGAGTTTAATTTGGCTTCTTCAGCTCTGTTAATAAATCTAAATATCCATTAAATCTGCTGTGCTGCTGGTGTGACAGTGGTATGTTTTTAACTTAACCTGCTGTTAAAAACATCACTACAAAGACTATAGTGTGTCAAAAATAGTAACAAACTGCAACATTTAAAAACGACACGTTGGAGGTGTGCTGCTGTGATCAGATTATTTAAAAATCTGATAAAATGACGCCTTGTTCAAAAAGAAAAAATCAGTAGGTCCTCTGGATGGTTCTTTAATGAAATGTTTCGTCTCTCCTCCAAGAGACTTCTTCAGTCTGAGTTTCAGGTGAACTCAGCCTTATAAGCACTGCCTCCACCTGGTGGACAAACAGGTTAGTCACATGCAAAATAGTGCCATCGACTAACAGTAGGCTTGATTAGCTCTATTGTTCACAGAGGGTCATGTGCCCCCTCACCTGACTTATTGGTTTGGATCATGGAGTCATACTTGCAGTGGTGGGCACCAGTCCGCTAAAGCGCAAATCCGCTAATTGTGGACCTAAATATGTCAATTGCGCTTTAGCGGTTTTACTAATTTTTTAATTCATAAGCAGATTTGCGCTTTCTAAAATTAAAATGCAGGACCGCTAATAACTAGTGGCTGTTTTGTTTCTCCAATGTATAACTGATCACAGTCCTCCT